ATTTATATATATTTATACATGTGTAAATTTTATGTGAATCTCGCGGTTACTTTGTTGGTGACCTTAAATACAACGTTAGAATTTTTTGCTCTGTATAATGCTAACGTTGTCTTGATTGCGAAAGATTTGTTACATTATTATCGTCGTCGTTCGCTCTGTAATATTCTGACAAAATAGGTACCGTAAAAATTTAATCGACTCTTAAACGCTTCGACGTAAAGAAAGGTATGTAAAAACTATTTGAGATTGAAATTTCCTAACTTTAAAAAAAAAAATTTTTAACATTCCCATTATTAACCGATTATCTGCAAAACTGAATTCGAAAAATTCAAGATATCACAATCAATGAAACTCTTCTTGACAAAATAACAATCCTCGCGAAAAAAAGTACAAGCAATTGAATTCTGAAGAATTTTAATTTCCAATTTAAATTTAAAAATTAACCGCCGATATTCCCAGCTGGACGTTAACAAGTTAAAACTCTCGAAATTGTATCCTCGGCCATGACAATGCTCCCTCTTGTAACTCTTGATCGAATTGCATTCTTGGCGCTAGAACCGATTCGAAATCACGTGTCACGTATTACCTTCGATGCGTTTTCTCACGCGGCCGGGAGAATGAAGCGAGGCGAAGGATTGGAAAGGTTGTAGATAATAGGCGGAAGAGGAAGGGGAGGGGGAAGGGGACGGGGGGTCGAGGATGGTAGCAATATGGGGGTAAGGGTAACAGAAGATCTTCATCTGTAACATCGCAAATTGAACGAGGATTTGCTGCGACCACGAGCTTCCACCGCAAATGAATGCATATCTCGGTGCACATCTGCGCAGTATCGATGGTAATACACGTATCCTCTGATTTAAATTACTCGGAACTGGCGGGCTTTCTGCAATTTACAAGTCGCCCCACCAAAGTGTTCCCGCTATACGTCTATGTAAATAACTGTGGATGCCCGGAGTTAAACCCTTGCCAAACAGTTGTTGCATCGTTAAACGGAAAATCTTTGTAAATATTACAATGTTTGTGAAAGCGAAAGTGCAAGCGAACTCTTCGCCTGTGCGTTCTCTAGATACTGTATCGAACACACGATATAAATATCACGTTGTATCACTTGTAACTCGAAAACAATTGATGAATACAGTTAATTGCATTTGATTTTTTTGCAATTATTCCTTTGATTTATTTGAGATTTGTACTCGTTATTTTTTTAAATGAATACGTGATTAATTACATTATCACAATTAAGTCTAGTTATGTTAAACTGAATATAACTTATATATATTTATTTTTTTAAATGATTTTTTATGCGTCAACTATTACACATGTTTATTTATGAATACGTGATTATCTATGAAAACATTTAATAAAATTAGAAAACATCAAACATACATAAAGGAGATAGAAAAAAAAGCGGAAGAAAATTACAAAATATCTTCTAAATTTATCAATAAATAAAATATCATCGCTGATAGCAACGTATTCTAACGCAAGAATATGCAAATTTTCGTCATCCCGTTTCTACAAACATCGCCGCATTACGCAAAACTTGGATAAAAAAAAAAAAAACCTCGCGCACAGGGAAGAAGTGCGCATCGATGAAAATATACGATAACGGATAGAAGAATGGTGGTGGTACGTAATATGTACCACTACGCTACCTTGAAGCGTGCAAGATCGTTGAGATGGAAGGTAGTCCGATCTGTCGAGGGCGTGATTCTATTTCAATATCAGTCCGCCTGCGGTTCTACGGTAGACACCAATCTCCGTAACACGGGATTCATCGAATATGAAATACATCTTGCCATTGTATTTTCGCAAACAGAATAAATTATCTATTCCATGGGAAACACGATGATCGTAAGTCGACGATAGAAAACGCGTCACTTCGTAATGCGATTTGTAACATATAATAAATAAAAGAGGAAGAAAGAGAGAGAAAGGGGAGGGGGGGGGAGAAGAGGAGAACGGAGAGAATCAAAAGCGAAATAGAGTCGTCGTCCCCGTCGACAGAATGGAAATGTAATTTAACCTGTCTATCGACTCCAACCAGCAAAAACTGGAATTCATCCGCAGGCGCAGCTGCGAATTTCTGCACACGGGTTGGTCATCGAGATTGCATTCAGACTATTTAGCAGGTGTGCTTCGGTTCGTAAAGCAAGGGTTGGGCTGCGTCCACACGCGCACACACACGTACACACAGATTACACCTGGAACCGCGGCTTGTCTTCTTCCTCCATTGTTTTTTCTTTTTTTTTTTTTTCCTCCTTACCCACCCACCCACCGACTATCATCGTGCACACTCGTGCTCTTCCTGTGTCACATGCGTGTACGGTACAATAGATGCACCTTTCAAAAGGTAACGCCGTTAATTGGGGACGCGGTAAACATTCGTAGCAGCGAAACAGGCAGGCAGAAGGCGCAGTGCCTTAATTGTCGCCTTCCTCTTCGAGATTGTATGGCATACCAAGCATGAAGCAATGCTTGCTCGTATGAAAACTACCTACAGGAGGAAATGTGAAATATGTCTATATTGACGATGTGCAATTAATATTTTTTTCTATAACAAGATTTCGCATATTATGTTCGGAAATTCTTATTTAAATGTTAATTCTTTATATTAAATAGGAGTTTGAAAAATATTGGATAGAGAGGGAATGTTTAGTTTGATAAATATTTCGATTTTTAAAATTTCAATTACAATTTATTTCTCTTGGTTTGGTGTTATTTGTCATAAAAAAGCAGTTTTCATTTAATAATATGTGAGAGTGTTACGTAAAAATTTTTGTGGTAAATTTAATAATTTATGAATTACTTGCAAAATTGAAGTATATAATAGTAGAAATTCTAAAAATGTTAAAAGCTTTTATAAAAAATAGTTTTCTGATTGATATATTCACATATGTATATATAATTATTTTTAATTTATGTATATACATATATATTTGCATGGTTATTTTTCAAACTAAAAAATTAAGAGTAATGAATAGAGAAATTAAAGTGATTTTTCTATTCAACTTTATAACAAACAAGCAATTTCATTGCTATTTATATAATGAAATTGATTATTTGCTCTGTCTTATATAAATGAGATATAAATTTTACGCGTTTATTAAGAAACTTTGTTTGTTGTCTTCTTTGAAAGATTGTATTAGATAATGTTACATATTGTTTTCTTGAATATTGGATTTTTATTTTCCTTGGAAGATCTTTCTCTTTTTTTTCTTTTCTGACATAAAAGTTGTCTGTCGATTGAAGAAATGATCGTTTTCCTCTCAAAGGACAAAAGACGCGGCTTCTGATAACTTTAGAGACAATTTAAAGACTAAAATTATTGATAGTATTGTCGATTCTTCCTCGAATGACGTAAGATCGAGCAAAAGTTGAAAAATTTTATTTTTATCAGCCATAATACAATTTGTCTCTATATTTTTAACATATTTCTAGCGCATCTAAAAACTTATCTATAAACTTTGTTATATATAAATAATGTCAACTTAATAACGATGGAAGGAAAGTACGATCAAATTAGAAAGCTTTAAGGAGCTTTTAATAATTTATTAATTTAAGTAAAGATGAAAGAAAGTATCGAATAGAAAAGATGTAATCCGACATAAGAAAATGCGATCAGCGATTGAAAATTTCCATCAACGTTGTTATTTCGGATTAATTAGAACGATATACTTCCGATGTAATCTGTTTATAAGTAAAATCCAAGAAATAGTTTCAGGAAAATTCTATTATAAAAAAATTTTTTTTTATTCATTATATTTATATAATAAACAATTTAATTAATAATCCATACATCTTTTATAAACTATATATAAACAATTATTTAAACGTAATTGAGAAAAAATATTACTCATTTCGTATGAAAAAAATGAATGGTGAATTCAAAGTGGAAGTGGATTGTGTATGTCAGACAAGTGACAAGTAACTATTAAAAAGAATTTGTTGAGATTTTTTTTAAATTAATTAGTTATGAATAAAAATAGTATATTATAATATTAGTTTATATTATATTACTTTTATTTAAATAATTAATTACATATAATTCGATATTTAAATTGATGTTATTTCAGATCAATCCTTAATTCTTTTTAAGTAATTTTAAGAATCATTTAGATTCTCGTAAAATTTTTATTCAAAAAAATAAATTAAATAATAATATATATCGTCTCTTATTATAGTTTGTTATAAATAATTATTATTTTGTTATTTATTTGAAAAGAAAGAAAATATTTATCGTTAAATATTTCTAGATAATATCGATATATTTATACGTGAATCGCATTTCTTAATATTATTTATAAATATTAATAAATATTCGAGATTATTGTTTCCTAAAATATTAATAATTAATTTTGAAAGATAATATACCTGTGCTGAAGCTAAAGTTGTATACATATTTCTTTCATCAGGAGAAGTACATAAACAAGTAAGCAATTCAAATGAAAAATTGTTGTTTACTTTTGCAAAGCTGGTTTACTGTCTCATGTTTGGCAAGCATTTTCATCTCGTTCTTCGGATCACATGCGTGTAGTTTGAAGCATCCTGCTTGCGACTTCTTTCAACATACATACATACCTATTCCATTAAAAGCGATAAAATTTCTAAATCGCTAAAATAGTGTTTCTCAACCTGTAAGTCATGATGTGATTTTTAAAAAATTGCTACAATTATTTTCACATAATATATTTATATAAAGAAGATTTTATAATGAAATATTATAAATTTTAATAGTAATATAAATATTTTACATTTTTAGTGGTAGATTTTTAATGTTTTAAATGTTTTAAATTAATATTCTCATCGATCGATAATATTTATCTCTAAATATAATATAATATATTTATTTTACTCTTAAAAATTATATTTTTATGTAATTATAAGTAGAGAGTGGTGTCAAAATTTATTTGATTATTTTATAATTTTTCGTGTCACAAGAAAGATTGGAAAAAGATTGAAAGAATCGTGATAAACACATCATTCTTTCGTTGATCCAGGGCTACCATAAAAGCTATGTTAGAGAATTATAAGGTATTCCTTTCATTTCCTGATCGTTGAACAGAAAAAGAGGGTGGAGCTCGATTATAAGTAACGAACGTGTGCACGTGAGTACGCAGAAGATAGAGTTAAGTATTAGGTACGAAAGATAACCCAGTTACACTTCCTAATCATTTTTGATATATGATTTTCTTTTATATAAGGATAATCTCTTCTCCTTTCGTAATTAAAATTAATTTTATCCTCATAAAAATATTTAAAATGTTTTAATTTTAATTTAGAGATTTTTTAAAATTAGATAGAGAATATTGGAAAGATTTAAAAGAACAATAATGATTCTGAAAAAAATATTATCATCTTTTGATATAAATTAAAAACCTCATTCGTATTTATACTATTACGAATAAAAAGTTCAATCGAATATTAAACTGCAACAATATTTTCCATTGAATCATAATATTCCCTTCTTCGATTCAAATTTTATCGTATCATTTTGCGTATATAAACCAAGATTCTTTTGGTCTTTTTGAAGAAGAAATAAATTAACGTTTATGCCTTTTTCACGATACGTTAAAAAAAAAAAAAAAAAAATGATCGCCCTAGTACACAAGTAATCGCGGAGCAAAGTCACGGAGGATAAATACAAGAGACAGGAGAAAGAGCAGAGAGGGGAGGAGGGGAAGCACGAGGAGGAGAGAGGTTCGCCACCGTGGTCGCCGCGCGGCGTTAAGCCAGTAGGTAGAGCCTAAGTCACCGGCAACAACGAACGTTCAGAGAGCTCAGTGATTACGAGGCTGATTGGCCGCCGCGAGATGAGACGGCGGCGTCCGTCCT